TACAAAACAGAAGCACTAGATCAGATGTGACAGCAATCTGGAGAGAAACACAGTGAACCAACTTTCCTAGCAGCAGACCTAGCAAATGATTCAATGTAATTTTCCCACTTTGTGTCAGTAGAAAATGTTAGCCTGAGAAGGCGCAGAGAGTCACTCTCCTGGAGGTTAGCGCTAGCCATACAAAAATGTTCTCTAAGACAAAAGAGATTAAATATTGAAAATATGGTTAAAAACAAAACTACCCATTTTTGTTTTCATTTTAGCATCACATAATTTTGGTAATGTATGCACAGACAGTGGAACAGATATAAGCATGTAAAGTGTAAAGAGGGATTGACAAACTGGGTTCAAATTCCAGTTGTGTCCACTTTCAAACTAATGTCCTTAGAATAGTCATAGAGTCAGTCTCTCCCCATCTTCTAGTGATGTCTTAAATAGCAAGATTCTAAAGCCTTGAGTAGGTAACCAGTCTAAGAGAAAGAAATGGAATTCCAAACAGTGGAGAAGGCAACAGGAAACCACTGCTTTATCATTCTATTGCTTTCCATGGTTTATCAGCTCTTTTCCAGGTTATTTAAAGCTAGAAAAATATTATTTTTTTAGATTGTAGGAATTTTTTTTGGGGGGGGGGGAGATAATAATGGTTTAGTAATACAATATTACTAATTAACCCATATCTGGGGGAAGAAGAGGTGGAAATTTATAGAACCATGACCATCTATGTTAGTGGTACTCAGCCTATTTTGCTTAATGCCCCCTTTTTACCATAAGTCAGGATGGCATTCACCCCTTCCTTTCCAAAAAGGTGCATTCCAAATAACATGCATATATTACTGAAAATCTGCATTCCTTTCCCTGTGAGTACATCTACATGGATTATTTTTGGAGAGGTAAAAAAAAAAAAAACATAAGGGCTAGCAGAAAGAAAACCCAGCATGACCTCTCAGTTGCGCAGACCCATACACATTGTGGGTTGTGCTGCCTTAGGGAGTTCAAAAGTTGACATTTTGAGTCTACCAATCAGTGTACCCCTCTCAGGAATCAGGGCGGGGTGGGATTCCTGACTGGTTGAGAACCCCTGATCTACATCATGATGAATGCATGCAACATTAAAAAAAAAAAAAAAAAAAAAAAAGAAAGAAAAAATAAACAAACAGACCCAAGTTATGTTTAGCATTAATCAACTTTATGCTTAAAATAATGAGAGAAATTTCAGTTATTTTCTTGACATTGCATTAAAAAATCTGAATCACACTTTATGATATAAAAAAACAAAAAAGGGGAGGGGTAATTGTTAGTTGTATAAAAAAACAAAAAAAAAATTTAGATGGTTGCTTGATCAGTTAGAGTGTGATCTAAATTAATCTGTCTTGACCAAAAAGTACATTTATACAAAACACTTGACATTTCTTCTGTCAACAAGATAAGGTACAAGGAAAAGTAAATGACAGAAACAGGTGCTTTATACATAAAGCATGTTTTTAATTATTCTTATATTTAATATGATTTTTCTTTTTACCATAACATTTTCAATTAATTAATATTTTATAAATTTGTAATAGGCATTTACATATTATAAAGTATAAGAATTACTTTTAATTGCACCCAACAGAAATGTGTGTGTGTATATATATATATATATATATATATATATGTAAAGCTCAAACACTGATATTCCATGATTATAATTTATTACATTGGAATTGTAATCACGATCCAAATCATGAAACCAACAAATTCAAAATTTTTTGAATTTGTAGTCTGATGATTTGGATTGTGATTACGATTCCAATGTAATAAATTATAACCATGGAATATTAGTGTTTGAGCCTTTTATATTATATTCTTACTCTCTCCTGGACATTGAGTTCTACCTGGATTCTATCCTCTTGGGAATTTATGTGTGTGTGTGTATATATTTTATTACTTTTTTAAGTTAATACTTCTATTTGAGTAGACAATCTGTTGATTTGTTAAAGAGTATGTTTATTTTTGTCTACTGGTTTGAATATTCAAAAAAGAGTATTAGAGAAAAATATGCTCTTCCCAGCAGGATTCAAGCCCACATTTCCCTAGGGGAAACCATTGTTAGACGTGATGTGCTTTGGACCTCTAGGTCACAGAGTGCATTAATGGTCAAGCAAAGTTGAATAATGATTTTAAACAGATTTTTCTGACTTTCAAAATAGACTGCTCAGTTTTTTATCCTTACATAAATAAGCATATAGGATTAATAAAAATATAAAATTTGTCACTTATATATATATATATATTTTGAACAATAAAAAATATTAAAAAATTAAAATCTTCATACACTATTCTTTCATCTTTATTATTATTTCAGTTAGATTCCTCCACTAGTTTCGGCCAACATGGCCATCATCAGGAGAAAAAAATTCTCTGCTTGCTGGTAGCAGTGAATGACAGAAATGAAGGTCTTGATGGAGAAAATGAACTTTTGTCTGCAGTTTTCATGTTTTTTTATTTTTTTAACATGAATTTTGGTTAGTCCTTGTGTTGGTCAAACAGTCACTTTTGAGTTGTTATTTAAGAGCTGGATGGATTCATGCTGCTCTGAATTTATATATATATATTGATGTATTTGGACAGCATTGCCTCTTTTATATGAGTTTCATTAGAGGACAAATATTATTTATGAATTTATATGTCCCTTAAGGAACTGCTTTGATCAAACCAAATTCCCGAATAATTATATTGAACATACCACTATATGCCTATAAAGAAGACTCGCATTTCATCTCTCTGACCATAACTCAATTCAAACATATTCAAAGACACACTGAAACCTACCAAACTCTTGTGTTAAACATACTCAGAGAAAATACAATTATAATAGCCTCATCCAGATTCAAGTAAAAGGCTAAAGATAATGAAAAGAAAAGGCTAACACTCAATATCAACCATGAACAAGGCTACAATGTACTGACCACGTTTGGGGAAAAAAATAAGAAAAGCAACCCCTCCAAAAAAAAAAACATTCCCCATCACTATAGACACACACACACACATTTTATATATATATATATATATATATATATAAAACATAAATAAAACCACATGACATTTTTCTGTGACATGTGGATCCAAATTTGAAGCAATCACAAATAACATATGGTTATATGCTGTACCAAGAATAAAAACAGCAGCCAGGGCTATTCATTTTGCACTAATACTTAAGAAAGGCATGAATTCACCACTCTCTGCAATCCATCCTACTGCACAGTATTCTGACAGCCTCATCCATGATGGCTGATAGAAAAGGGCACTCAGGTCAAGGATTAAATCCCCGCTACTCGTATCATACAACTCCCTATTATGTGTAACATGTTAATAGGGAAGGTGGTGGTCAGTATTAAATAATCACTGAAGATGATTATTAAGGGCCTAGCAGTGCTCTCTGAGCAGAGGATCTACCAAGCACAGGTTGAATATGGCGAATATGGTTGTATTTGGACATAAAATTAATTGTATGTAAATTTGATTTTTTAGTAGAATAAGAATAATGTTTAGAATTTTTTTTATTTTTGAATTTACAAAATTGAATTTTAAATAAGTATGTTTATTTTATTTTTTTTCCCTAATACAAAAGTTTAATGGGTATATTTTTTCAAATTTTAATATCAACACAATTGTCATTTTTTATTTATCGAATTATTTTTATTATTTTATTTTTTACACGACTAACAAATCACAGAAATATTTTCTTTTTAAAACTAAATAAAAGATAAACGTTTAAAATTTATATTTGTGAAAAAAAAAAAAACAAAAAAAAAAAGCGATTTTTTAAAATTTTTATTTTATTTATTTATGAAATAATTTTTTCTTAAATATTTTTTATTCTTAGTTAAAAAAAAAAAAACTAACTAAAAAGGATTTGAAGCCATATCGCAGTTATTAAACAAGAATTATGACGGAAGCAAAAATATTTTAAAAACAATTATCATATATATGTAAAAAGTCCTCTTCCCTAAAATAATTTAAAATTTTCTCCCCCCAACAAAAAAAAAAAAATCCAAAAAAAGAGTGGGGGGGATTTTTTTTTTTTTTTAATAATAAATAAAAAACGTAATCTGACCCGTCGACAGATTAACTTTAACATAAATATTTGACATTTTAAGACAAGAAAGAGTTTTTAACATTTTTTCTTTTCTCCTTTTTAATTTTTATACCCCCACCACCTTCGTTCACACATAGTTGGGGCCCCAATTTAAAAAGACATAATGTTCGTTCTGTTTTGGTCATAAAGTGAGGGAAGAATTTCCAATTGATTTCATTACATAAAACGAATACCCACTTTTAGATGACACTGTGGTCAGACTGAGACAGACATACAAGTAAAACATTTTGTAAGAAGATTTAATGTTTTTAAAAATCCCTTTTGGCGGTCTCATAAACTGTAATATTGCCAAATCTCCATGGTAAAAGGTATATGGGTGTTTACCCATGGAGATATTTTATTTATTTAAAAGAAAAAAAAATAAAAGAATACATAAACCTTGCTGTGACGAGGTTCCATGATAGGCCGAGACAAAAAAAAAAAAAAGAAAGAAAAAAAACAGAAAATGAGAGAAAAAAAAAAAGATTAAATTCTCCTTCGTCATGTCCAAAAAATTTAACAAAACCCCGCCAAAAAATCCCCAACACAAAGACCGACATTAACTACGAGTGTAGAAACTGGTGTACTCAGATCGCCGGACTTGTGCACACCGAATACCTTGCACACGACAATTGACCAAAAAGTCGGGGATCAATTTACATATTTGAATCAATGAAAAACCGATCCCCTTCCTCAGCGTACGAGAAATGAGGGACTTGTTTGCTATTAAAATCATCACTAAAATCGATCCCCCATTTTTCGTACACCCCTTGCGCAACCACCCCCGGCGATTTTGGACGGATGGAGAAAATGATCATTTTCCAACCGTTGCGCTAGAACTGGTTATGCTTGGATGTTGTCCGCTTATCAGTTTGGGACTTACCTTCACATGTCTGCAGGTTGTCGTCCGGCTGGGAGAGAAACTGGGAAAGAAATGGCGATTGAAACGACGGAAGGTTCCGTCGTTTTGATAAGTACAGCCGTTAACCCAAGAAAGGACACTTTGCTCGACGATTGTCTCCCCTGACTAGGGACAAGACGCTACACTAGCGCCACCACGCGGATAAAACGTTCGCTAGACAAGGGCACGTAACTCCTTTAATTGCGCTTCGACTCACCCCCCGACGTTCACCATTAACCTACGACTTACCAATTTCTCTTCTTCCTCCTCTTCTCTTCGTTTTTGTTCTTTTCATTGCGTTGTGGCTGTTGTTGTTGTTGTTGTTATTCTTCTTCTTCTTCTAATTATTATTAGTAGTAGTGGTGGTTATTTTTATATTTATATATTTTTATTTTATAGTTTGCTTTATTATATTTTCTATTATTATTATCATTATTGTTATTAGTGATAGTGGTAGTAATAAAATTATTTTTAAGTATGTTTATTTTTATTTTCTATTATTTTTCTTCTTATTCTTCTTCTTATTATTATTATTATTATTATTTATAATAATGATGCTGATAACAGAGGAATTAAAAAATAGTAATTTATGTTATATGTTTTAAAAAAATGATGAAAAATTTGATTGCCATAATAATTCAAAGAAGTGAGCTCTCTCTCATTAATTTCTATCATCAGCAGTGTCCACATCATTTCTCTTAGTAGCAGCATCAATAGCAACTCAAAATCATCATGATCATCATCTACACAAATAATCACCATTATCACTAGAACCTCACCCCTTCACCATCATCATCATAATAATAATAATAATAATAATAATAATCATCACTATAATCTGCACAACAACTACCATTATCACTAGAACCCCCACATTATCATCATTGTCATCATCATCATCATCATCTGTAGAAATAATCACCATTATCACTCAAACCCCTCCCTACATTATCATCATCATCAGCAGCAGCAGCAACAGCATCATCTGTACAAATAATCACTATTATTACTAGAGCCCCTCCCCATCATCATCATCATCGTCATCAACTGTACAAATAATCACCATTATCTCTGGAACACCTCCCTTTCATCATCATCATTATTTGCACAAATAAGCACTAATATTACTAAGACTCCTCCCCCTTCATCATCATCATCAGCATCACTGACATCATTATCATCACCATCATTTTACCTACATTCTGCTTATCAAAATTATCAGAACAAATAATATGATAATTTCAATCCTCTGAATTGATACTATGACAAATTAACCAGGCTTGGTTTAGTCTGGCACAAGGCCAAATTGTAAGGAAAGAAGAAAAAATTGTGCTACACTACTCCTTCAAGCAGGGAGAGCCTGAAAAATCAGCATTTGAAATCTTGATTTTTACTTGGATTATGGTGATGATGGCAGATATACAACAACTTCAGCCACATAGCAGGCGTTTGTTTATTTTGTTACTAGCCTCTGCTTTCATCTCTCTCTCTTTCTCTCTCTCTCTCTCTCTTTCTCTGATTTAATATTCCTCTCTGTCACCTCTGAATTAACCTCCCTCTTTTACACATATCCCTATCTGTCTCTCTCTCCCTCTCTCTCTCTCTCTCCCTCTCTCTCTCTCTCACTATCTCTATTTCTACAAGTTTCAGCTTTTGTAGTGAAAATTGTCACTTTTGCATAAATGTATTATATTCTCTACTAATTAAGAGAACTTAGTTTTGTGGAAGAACAAAGAAGAAAACAAAAGCAAACTGCTCCTGGCTTTAACTTGGGTTTGAGACCTGACCTCAGGCACTGATGGAAGATATCTCCCTCTTGAGTCAGGGCCATGGCAGCAGGGCTAGCACAAGGGTCTTGTGCCCCCACAAATCTATAATATTAGGTCTTCGACTCTACTACACCTCACCTTTATTGTAACCTAATTATGTACAATAATAGATCATATGCAATATAGGCTTAAAATTCAACTAGAAAAATTGAAAATAAATACAATTTATCTAAATACAAATTAGAGACACGTCATAATAGATCAGTCTATCTTAAATAACTCAACAATGTTTTGCGACAATTTTTAAGATCAAATTGAGGTTTTTCTTGTTAAAAAGTTGAATAATTTTAACACATTCATCATTATAGATAAAAAAAAATAGTGAATTTTATATAATGTTTTTAGGCTTAGCATGAGCAAAATAAATTCACAGACTTAGAAGAAAAAAGTCCCCCAGAATAATGTCAAAATCTGTGAAAAATTTTCATCTTTTAATAGTTGAACTTAATTTAATTTATAATATATATAAATGTAGGTAGGAAAAGTCAAATGTTGATGAGATAGCAAGAGTTATAAAACAGTGCTGGGGTCCCCAATCAGGCTTGGACCCCTGGCTGGGGAGTTTGGGGATAATATGCTCCAGCCCTACATGGTAGAATCATTACTCAGATCTAAAGAATTATCTCAGGGCTATTACTGTCATCTTTGTGTAGCTGTTACTTTTTTTGTTATCTTTAAAACTATTCTTCATTGATAGACATTACCAAATTAACCCTAATCTTTTTTTCAATGTAAATATTATTTTTTCTTTTTTGGAGTTATTTATTTTTCCTTTTCATCTCATATTAGATTTCTTGATAATTTCATTATTTTATTCTATAATTTTCATTATCAATAGAGCACAAACAATTTCATTCAGTTTTCAAGATTATCACTGAAATGTTATTTGTTTGTTGGTGAGTTGTTGTGTGGGGGCGGAGAGATAAGATGAGAGATAAGTATTTTAAAATGATCTCATTGTCACCATTTCTATTTCATTCATGGCATGGTGTAATGGCTAACAAGCTTGTCTCATCCTATAATAATTACTGAGTAGCGAGTTTGATCCTCACTAGGTGTTCTATACTTTTGGCCTTGTGCCACATCATTTTAGGGCAATTCAATGGTTAGCAAGCTTGTTTCGCTAGATCAATTACAACTGCATAGTGAGTTCTATCCTCACTCAGTGCCCCATGCTTTTGGCCTTGTGCCATATCCAAGCTATTCTTAGAAAACTGCTAGATCTCATTAGATCAATTACAACTGAATAGGGAGTTTGATACTCACTAGGTGCCCATTATTTCAGCTTTGTACTACATTTAACCTAGGCTGAGAAAATCACCATATCAGATATGGGCACTTCGACGTGATATAATGGTTAGCAAGCGTGTCTCGCTAGATCACTTACAACTGAATATAGAGTTCGATCCTCACTAGGTGACCCATACTTTCGGCCTGGTACCATTTCTAAGCTACACTTAGAAAACCACTAGTGGGAACTTTGACATGGTGTTATGTTTAGCAAGCTTGTCTCACTAGAACAATTACAATTTAGTAGTAAGCTCAATCCTCATTGGGCACCCTATATTTTTGGCCTTGTGCCACATCAAAGTTATACTTAGAAAATTTTTTTCAGCTTTTTTTTTTTTGTAATTATTCTAATCTTTCTGGTAGGGATTAAGTGAGTGCAAGTTTCCTCAAACCCTCCAGGACTGTCCCCAGCATCCTTACCGAGCTCATATATGATTATCATTGACATTTATTAAGCTTAGTTCAGGCTGGCACAAGATGAAGGTTCCCATGAGGAACAAATCCATTATGGTAGTAGTGGCCTTCTTGGCTAAATTTATTAATTCACAATGAGGTACCCAGGCAGATGACTGCGAGTGTTTACTGAGAATCAAACTGTGTAAAGTGAGGTACACAGTCAATTGCAAGGAAAAGGGTTTCTTAAGAAATTCTGATGTTTAGTCATTTGGTCAGATATTGATAAGGATGATAGGCTGAGAATTTGTCATTATCTTGTATTCTTCTTATCCATCTTATTATTATTATTTGTTGTTGTTGTTGTTGCTAATAATGATGGAGGTAAGTCTTCTAATATTTTAAACACTTCCAGATAAGTCCAATTACCAGAAAAGACAATGAAAACAAATATTATTGCTATTATTATTATTTTTATTTCCTTTGATTTCTGATGTTTACACTTTTTCTTTTCCGGTCCCACCCTAGGGACCTAAGGTTAGAAATGGCATCATGACACTTTCCACTGACAAAAAAAAAAAAATATATATATATATATATATATATATATATATATAAAGACATTTTATGTTTAACATTCTTTTATAGATACAAGTATTTAAGTAAATGCTCTGTTAAATACTTGTATCTATAAAAGAATGTTAAACATAAAATGTCTTTTAATAAATTGTCGGACTTTGTCCAATTCTTAATATATATATATATATATATATATATATATATATATATATATATATATATATATATATAAAATTTATTATTATTATTATTATTATTATTATTATTATTCCTAATAATGATGGAGGTAAGTATTCTAATATTTTAAACACTTCCAGATAAGTCCAATTACCAGAAAAGACAATGAAAACAAATATTATTGTCATTATTATTATTATTATTATTATTATTATTATTATTATGTGTGGTATCACCTTGCCAGAGAGTAATTTTAAGTGCCTAATTACCAAGTCCCTGCTGGGTCACCTGATGAGAATGAAAGTGACTGCCCAGTAGTAATGGTCAACCAGACTAGCCTAGTTAACCATTACCTCATACCAGTTGTTGGTTGGTTGATTTAACAAAATATCAACCCTTGTTTGACTTTTAATTTTAAATTTTATTATGGTGCACCTGGTGAGAACCAAAGTTGCTACCCAGTAGTTGTGATCAACCAGACTAGCCTTGCTAACCCTTACCTCATGCCAGTTGTTGGTTGGTTGATATTACAACATGTCAATGTTGGGTTATTTAATGTTGAATTTTGTAAGGTGCACCTGGTGAGGATCAAACTTACTCTTCTCTAGTATTGGTGAACCAAACTATCCTCACTAATCCTTACCCAACACCAAGGCACCCCGTACTCTTCTCAGTATTCCATCAGAGTGTTTCATCACACCTCTTAATTTAAAATTTCTTTTAACTTAGCTCTTCAGGGTCATTCTCAGTGCTCCGATTACAACTGGTATCACTGTCATCTTCATGTTCCACAACTTCCTCTGTTCTCTATCACAATAGATACTCTTATCTACATTTACCCTTTCTTTCAGATCTACT